ATGAAGTCACTTCTAGCTTTGTGGCAACTTCCTCTATCGCCTAGTTATTGAAGCCCTGAGGGAACTTCATAAAAAAAGTAGTATCGCAAGGCCATACAAAAGCCAGACTTTTTTTTGCTACATCCCCTCAGTGCTTCCATACCTCCTTCCAACATTTGTCCCTACACCAACCTTTCCCTTCTGTCCAGGAGAACCAGGAGGTGAAGGCAGCTGCTGTAAAGCCAGGCAGTCCAGGAGGACAGGTGACAAGAGGGAGTCAAAGAGGGTCCATGCTCCCACCTGCTCCCTGGAGGTCATTGGTTCTGTGTAATTACACCGGGTCACAGCAGGTCACACAGGTATAAAGGAGCGTGAGGAGAAGTCAGAGTTAAAAGGGGAAACAGTGATAGAATTTTTATGTTTGCATCAAGTTAGACAAGTACTGTAGTGGTTGGAAAAAGTGTGTTTGCATTGTGTATTTGTATGCAATTGCAGAAACAATCGCCACCATATTTTTGTGCAGATCAGTAAGTCAGTCCCACAGTTAGCCAAGAACTCCATCAAGGGTCTCAGACATATATCACAAATAATTATTTATCCCATTTGCTGATGATTTGCCTCTTTTTTTTGTCTTATTGGCTAACCCTAACCCATGCACATTTTGAGGAGACAAAGGGGAGTGGAAGGTGACGCCAATAACATGTTGTCTAGATCACAACTGAAAAATATGTGTCATTGCATTATTACTGTCCATTGGCCCACCCTCACAGGCTTTAACTGCCATCACAGTAGTGTCTGAGTGCACCCCTGCACTCAGACACTACCTGAGTGCTCTCCAATGGAAATAATAGCACTGTTCTGCACAATGTCAAATTTGTGCTTTTAGGGTGAGCCGTGTCACAAATAAGACAGAACTTTGTGACATCATATTACTTGTACAGACATTTCTGTGGACAGGAAAACCTGAGGCTGAAATCTCAATGTTGGATGACTTGGAGTGTTTAATCTGTGTTTATAAGTAAAAGGTTCAGAAAGCCGACGCGAGAGCCCATTCTGCATTACAAGAGCTCTGGGCAGGTGCAGGCATCAAAGGCTATACATGTGTGGAATAGTAAATACTGCAACTTTAACCTATAGTACATGCTGTGGTAGCCTGCTAACACTAACCTGCATGAGAGATTGTTAGACATTTTGGCTGCGTTCACATGCAGCTCAAGTGATTTAGATAATCTGGATAAACTCTTATTTTATCTATCTGATTGGCTGAGTGCTAGCTGTTTTAGCCCTGAAACTACAAAAACAGGACCCTGGATACATGTCACATCAGGGGAAACTCACAAGACAGAAATGTGTGTTGATAACTAAGGTGCAAGGATGGATTACCAACGGGAATATGGATCACTGCCCCAGAGCCCCAGACTGAAAAAGCCCCAAGTTCACTATGTGGTCATTTATGGTAATGTGATGAATCATAACTTTATATGGGAATACAATAAAAGAACCATTAAAGCATAATATGAACTGACATGACATAAGTGCCTGTTTTATTACCTTATCTTGAGACCCTGTCTCGAAGAAGGCCTGTGTGTCAGATTCTAGTTTTAAGAGCTACATTTAAGCTGATATTTTGCTTACAGGTTGCATATTCTTAAATCAATTTGAATTTAATCAAATTCACACTCAGCAGTGAGGCCAGGATGTATATATTGAGTAGAGAGGGAGAGGAATCGGGGGTTAATGGGGGCCCAGCTGCTCGTTTTTGCCCCATGATCCCCAAACAGAATCTATCCGTGCCAAAGTTGTCAGTCTTGACAGTATCAGGAAACACTTTGTTCATCCAGTTTGTACACGCGTACATGATCTCTATTGGCTGTAAAAAGCAAAGAAGAAGAGGTTTTGGGGGAAAATAGGAGCTACGATTGAAATGCAGTGAAACTGAAAGCTGTCTGGTTCCAGGCCAGTTTGCATTATACGGAAAAGTCTCTGCTCCCAAGGAGACTACTGCAGATAAGCCTGACAGTCAGTGTGTTGCAGTACATGCACACACAGCTATTTCTACCCTTTCAATATTCTGTGCAGCCAGGTAGATGATTGTGCTGCTGATTGATACTCAGTTACAATGATGTCAATCACTCAACGATCCCTGCGTGAATGCATAAATAATTAGACTTGAATAAAAAGTGCACGATTGAGGAGTTTTACAGGACTTACCTGTCAACCTCCCCCACATGCTGTCCCCTGAGAATGCAAAGAGCCGAGGACAGCATTAAAGCAGATCCCGGGATTGATGGAATTATAGTTGTTATAAAATGAACCATAAGTCAAACCCACGCAAACACTTTGCGGGGTGACCTCCACTGACTGATGTTAAATACCCCGAGACACCAGGAGCGCTGTTATGCAACGGTAGT